GGTTTACGTAAATCTTACGGTGCGTAAGAAACTCGTAAATTTACGTAAAATTTTTACGTAAATTTACGATTTTCTTATGCACCGTAAGATTTACGTAGTTTTACGCTAAATTTTACGTAGGTTTACGATTTTTTTACGTACCGTAAAAACTTATGAAAGTTTACGCATATATATTTTTGCTGATGCAGTTATGAGCTTACATTCAAGACACCCATTCGAAAGAAGGGACCGAGTTAACGTGAGTAACGAATTATTTCAAAGGAGGGGGTTAAGTTGAAACTACGCTGTGTAATCCAAGAACCATCAGCGTAGCCCGCACGGAAAAAAGAAAAAAAATGAAGAAGGGTAATCTATTATGGCCAATTTAATATCATATATGATTTTCTTCTTTCTTTTGATCGACATTTCTTTTTCACTTTTTCTTTTCGTCTTTTCTTTTTTGGCTTCTTTATGACTCTTCTTTCTTTTTCGACTTTTCTTTTTTCTTTTCGAATTTTTCATTTTTGATTTCATTTCGACTTTTTTTTTTTAGAAAAAGAACCCAAGAGTATATCATATATGATTTTTTTCTTTCTTTTTTTCGACTTTTCCTTTCACCTTTTTTTTCGACTTTTCTTTTCATCTTTTCTTTTTCACTTTTCTTTTGACCTTTTCTTTTCGACTTTTCTTTTTTGACATCTTTTCAACTTTTTCTTTTTCGAACTTTTCATTTCTGATTTCTTTTCGAGTTTTCGATTTTCGTTTCTTGACTTTTTTTCGACTCTTTTTAGAAAAGAACTAGTTAAATATGTGAATTTTTTAAAAATATATTTATAAATAAACAGATAAATAGATAAGAAAACATTGACCTAGTTTAAGAAAATTTTTCAAGTCTTTTTGTTTGGGTGGTGCAGAGCCGGTTTTGTTTAAAAAACAAAAAGAAAATTAATATTGAAAGAATATAAAATAACACAAGAAAAAAGTAAGCTAAAAACTTATCAAGGTCAATATTGGTGTAAAAAGCTAAACCATAAATTTTTTCCTATTTTCTTTTTTCTGTTCTAGGCTATATCTTAGCCCGTCCGCTCTGAGGTAGCGCTCCATCAAGGTTTAAACTTTGCTACCCTCCAAGGGGACTTTACGCAATAGGGATGCTTGAGTTATCCTCGTCGCTGGGTTTCGAAATGTACCATCTTCAAAGAGTTAAAGAGAAAGAAAATAATCAGATCAGATGATCGACAATAATAATAAATAAACATCTGATTGGTTGTTGATCAATCAGAAGATCACAGGATCAACTTATTTGAAAAATAATACATATCTGATATTTTCTTAATATCGTGATTCAATTTCCATTTATTATTTTTCATTTCTTCGACTAATTGAAAATTTTTGAAATATTAATACCGCAAATTACGACGAGACGCTAATTCAATTAATAAAATATAAATTAATTTTAGCCTAATAATTCTGAATTCAAAACCTTATTGAATTCGGCCGAATGATTATTAGAATTGTTGGCAAGTTTCAAGTTTTCTATCTTCATACCCAAAACTTGAGAAAATTTAAATTAACAGGCTAAATATAGTTTAGAATTTCTAATTTTTCTTATAAGAAAAAAAATTCGTTAATTAGTTAAGGAAATTGTAAACCATTTCTGCTTTTAGTAAACACACTTCAGCCATTTAGCCGTATAAACTTTAAAATAGATTAGTTAGTTTAGAATTAATTGTAAACTTAAATATTGTCCTAGGCAAGATAACTTAATCATTTCAACACAAAATTAAATAGTCACATGTTTCATCATAGGTAAAATTTAGGATGTCCACGATTATGCAATGCAATATGATAAATTAATTTAGGTCAAAATTCCCGAATCAAAATTAATTCTAGGCTAGCAAATTAAGCATAATTTCGGGCAAAATTAAAAGCAATTTGATGCAAAATTATATATAATTTCATTGAATCAAGCTATTTTTAGAAAAATCCTGTGAATTTCTTAATATTTTTATATTGGTTAGCTCATTGAATAAATGTCTCTTAATATTAATATTTTTTCACATTGAATTACCATCTTTTTTTTTGCAGCCAATGTTGATCTAATGTAAGTCAATTATCTCGCTTTAGAGTGGAAGGTGTAGTTAAGATATTAATCTTTATAAATTTCCCCAAATTTACAAATTCTTCAAGGCTGTCGTCAGAACATTCAAATATAACGAATAGTGGTTTGTAGAAATCTATAACTAGCAAGATTTATAACAAAACTAGTAGTTTATGTTTCTAAGATTATGTAATAGATTCATCAAAATTCTAGTAAATTACAATTATTAACCAATTTTTCAAAATAAATCAATCTTTTCTTTATTTAGTAAATATGAGACAGATATAACAAAAAGCTAAGAATTTATAACAAAACTAGTTGTTTACATTTCTAAGTTTATATAATAGATTCATCAAAATACTAGTAAATTATAAACCAATTTTATATAGTTGCATTGTTTTTTCATGATTTTCAGCAGCTTTTAAAATTTCTTCATTTGTTTTGTATACTTGTTCTTCTTTAACTAAACGTTTATATTTCAAACATAAATTATGCCCAAGTTCCTTAGCATTAACTAATAAAAAAAACTATTTAGAACTTTTATTAACTACGAAAATTTCACATGTTACTATTGAATTGAATATACCTTGATGTAAGTAAAAATTTGATCTTGAGTTATTTTTTCGAATATTTAGCCCAATCGCAGTGCCAATAGACTTATACCTATCAATATCATTTTTCACACAATTAATTTCTTCTACCAGTAAAAAATTGGTTTGAAAAAAGTTTCCTTTAAAATCTGCAAATATAAATACAATTTATTATTAGATAAATTGATATTTCATAAACAACATAAATGCTATGAATTGTATTTCAATAATGGCAAATAATAACCTAACCTTTGTAAAGACTAGCTTTTTTCGAATTCATAATATATGTGATTTTTTTTCCTGAAATATTAGTAACAAGATATTCAGTGGCCCAAGCAATTTATTTTTTTTTAAAAAAATGATTTTTTATATAAAAAAAATTTACACGTAAATTTTTTCTATATATTATTATAGACTAAGTAAATACGTTGTTATACATTTAAGCTTGCACCCCACCTCGATCTTCCAAAAACAACGAAACAAAAGACCGGACCAATGCGAACCCAAAATTTTTTATCATGAAAACTCTATAAACCGAATTGTTTCATGTTAGAGCGGACGAACTACAGAGACGAACTAATTTAAAACACCCCAGTATTTTCACCACTTCTGGCAGTTAGTTTTTTGTGAGGTATTTAACTCTCGAGTATGCAAACCTCCCTAAATGCACATTGTAGGCTTGTCTCTATGAGTTGCATTTATAGAGGTTTGACTGTGCTCTTTGACGAACAAAGGTCATGTTAGTTCTTTTTGGTTTGACCAGAGAAAAACATGTCATTTCAGTGAGATTATGGAAAACAAGCTGTGCTTCCCTACTGACCAAATACCCCTCCCCTTAACTCAGACCACAGACAGGAGCATCTGTGGAATAAAAAAATATCGATTTCTATCAGGGATTTACCCGGTCAGACCGGAACCCCCGAAAAGAATATAACGACCGAGCGCAATACCAAAAATGATGTAAAAGATCCCAGCCCATAACCTAACTATGAAATACGTAAAGGGACTCATGAAAAGAATTATTCACTAAGTTGTCATGACCAATAAACCAATCAATCTGCCTCATGTGAGAGACCCTTCCTCTAATCATCGAACTCTCTAGAAATCACATTTTTGTGCCAACACGAGGACAACCTTACACCAACCTCACCAAGGGACCAAGTTCCCTCAAACTCACATACAGATGCTGGTCGTGAGAACGGTTAGAGTGGTTCCGGGCGATCATCAGCCTTACAATGTTCTTGACGGGCTGAGGATTTTTATCTCATAGGGTAATACTCGAGCATTACGAGCGTTAGCTTTTCGTTCAAAAACTACCCAACGTATGCTGCGGTTTTTAGTTAGTAGGTTAGTAAAAAAAAAAAAACACATAAACAAACCAGCGTTCGAAAATGTTGGATACGGGTTCGACAACTAAAGAAGTTGAAACCATAAAGAAAAAAAAGATCTCCAAACAATGAAGCTAATTTTTTACTAAAAAAAAATAATAATAATAAACCATAAAAAAAGAGAGTGACTCAGAGGCTAACAAGATTAAAAAAAGTGAGATGTTAACGAAAAAACCGTAAACGCAATGTCAGGAAACGAAATATGGTCGGCACGCGAAGAAACGAAAAACAAACTGAAAACTACGCTAAAAAACAGTCTCTTTATCTTTTTTGAAGAGGCGCGGAAATCATATGCGGGCGAAAGACATAACCCTCGAGAGTTCTCAGAGAAGTAAGAACCGAGCAAGAAAATAATACTTCTCCGCTATGAACGACGTTTTCACTGGAAAAAAAAAAAAAAAAAACCAATAGGAGGAAGAAAGACTATAAAATAATATATTCTCTGTGATGAACGACGACACCCGCACCTGACAGCATCGGAACTGAAAAAGGTTCGTAAGTGTGCTCGCCACAAAGACAACAAAAAAAACAGAGCAAAAAAAAACTAAAAAAAAATAGTCTTCTCCAAATGACATCAGTACTTCGTTTCTTCCTCAAACAAAATAAAAATAAAAAAAAAATAAAAAGTAATTATCATCTGTTTTAATATATTCGTTCAAACCATTCAAAAAGAAATAAACTCATACTTCCCTACAATTTGTAATCAAATCTTCATCGACGAAAAAATAGAGAAAAAATAAATAATAAAAAAATAATGGAAAAAAAATGAAAAGGGAAAAAAGAACGACAGAGTCAAAAAGATAAAAAAAAGTTTATAAAAAAAACTACAAAAACAAAAAGAAAGACATTTTATGTGTATGGAAGCTTCAAGTTTAGACTACTATATTTAGTGGCCCTATCCGCACAACGAATAATTGAGAAAAGAGGGAAAGTTTAAAGAACAAAGAAAAGAAGTTAAGTGATCAATATTTGTTTATACATCGATTTAAAAAAATAACGTCTGGATCTCCGACCGTCTTTTGATGCCATAGGAAAGTGAACTGAGTTTGAAATTAGTTGTTGTAGCATACTCTAAAAATTTTAATTTATTTGAAATTTTACTTTAAAATTATGGGGTAATATGTA